TCAAACCTGGACTTTCTGGTCCATCTGGCTCAATTTCACACTCAGCAGTGCCTTTTAATAACTGAGCCATTGGGGAAGCTGGACACCCACTGATTTAATTGAAACAAATTGTTGTTTCACAATGTGATTTAGGATTTTCTATACCATACTTTTCATTCAAAAATTCATATTTTTATATCAATGGAATTAATACTATAAATACAACTCCACTGTTGTAAACGCGTCTTTTTGTATATCAAATAAATAGCAGTAGAAGTCTACTTTGGAAAGAATTATACATTTTCTGTAACTTTGAGTTTCAAGTGAATGTTGAATCACTGTGAATATTTGCCGAGTGAAACAGTGCTGAATATAGCACAATGGGCATTATTTTGGCAGAGGCAGTCAGGTGCAATTCAGCTGGCAAATTGTACACTGACAATATTTTTCCGAGACAGATTTGGAATGCATCAGTGCATTGAAACCGAACACATCCTGCATTTCATATGAACCACCCTGCATTAATCTGTCACAATTGTCAAATATCTTCGGTGAGCATTCTATTTCCTACACATGTATCTTATAACTCCCTCACATCAGGATTTTGTTTAAGAAACCATGGCAAGAAAACCGTTTTTTTAAAATGTTCAACATAATAATCATTTCAAATGTCAGTATTTTGATTATTATTGTAAACCTAGACCCAGGTGGAATTTCTTCCCTATAAATGTCTGCTTTTCCATTCTCCCCACCATTTGAGTTAAGATAAGGCAGCAGATCTCAATCTGTCTCTGCACACCATTAGATAGTGGCTGGAATACAAATAGAGCACCAATCATTCCCCCTTATTAGAGTGATTACCTGATTTACTCAACTTTGCTTCCAGCATTGGAGCAATTAAGTGCAGGAAGCTGGATTTATATTTCCCACTTCCAATCATTCTCCCCAAGGGTTGATATCTTCTCAACTGCACTATCAGATTTTTTTAATGCTATTAAACAGTCAACAGCACAACCAACTCTTTAATAATATTAAAACAATCCTTTCAAATTTATTGAGTGATTATGTAAACCACCAATGAGCTTTTAAGGCACTGTTTTTTTAAGCAGAAATTTGGACCGGCTGTACTTAGAAAACAATGATATGAATCAATGTCCTGACATAAAACATCTCCTAAAGGCAATTCACCATTATTCAAGGAAACCCCATGGAATGCTCCCAGATTGAGTGTGACATTGATTGGAGCAGAGTAACAGAATAATACTTCAGTGACATTAATGTTTATATCAATCTTAATAGCTCAAGAGAAGCTTTGCGATAGGTAAAACATAGTTACTTTAGATACTGTCCAGTCAAATCTAATCTAAACCTAAACCCAATCTTTTCTGTCTTACTTTAGATAGTTTCCTGATAGAAAAGGAGCCTGGAACTTTAATTCTCTTACTTCTTTAAATTAAAAAAAAATGTTTCTAATGTTTTTCTGCAGGTGTAATTTTCCCCCTCTCCACTCCTGGTCTGGCCCATCCTCTTGCTGAGGTGCAGTCTCACAAATGCTGGTTGCCCTCTGGTACCCTGCCCAAAGTGACAATTGTTCACATGTAACCCTTGGCTGAGAATGTCAGCAAGACACTCAAATATCGAGGGCATTACGGCCAAGCCTGAGCACTATCCACACAACTGCCACCCACGTACACAAACAGTACAGGGGGCACAAGAGCCACTTTGGCGAATTTTCCCCTCTCAAACCCTGGAAGTCTGAGACCATTTTAGCCTCTGCATGTAGCCCCTGCTGAGACACTAAATATGGACTGGCAGCTCCTGGTCTGTAATCTGCAACTCTTATCTATCAGGTTGCCCCATAGTGAGATTTTTTAAGTTTTCAAAACAACCTATTTATTTCACAAAACAATTTGAAAAGAAATTGCTCTGTTAAAAGATAGAAATCAACAATTGAACCAACACATCTTTAAAAGAAACAGTGAATCATTCTGTTGTAATTTGATACAGAAATACAACATGCCCTTCACTGGTTCACTGTCTCTCAGATGAACTGCTACAGATTACAATCTCCAACTACTTGCAACTCTTATGCTTAAAAAATAGTATCCACACACAACACTCACAAAATACATACAGTTGTACTTATGAAAAATTACAGTTGCTAAGAATATCTGAAATTATTCTACAAAACCATAAAGCAAGTACACCAAAATGACATTTGTACAGCACCTTTCCTGTCGGGAGAATGTCCCAAGGTTTTGGACACTCAGTGTTTCGGACCCGAGCTGGGGGTCGGGATCGGGGAGAGTGGAGGACAGGGTGAAGGAGGGTGATCGAAGGCACGATCGAAGAGGAGGATCTTGAGATGGGGCTTGAAGGAGGCAGAGGGACTGCAGGATGGAGTTCCAGTGGGTGAGGCAGAGTGGCTAAAGGCCCGACTGCCAATGGTGGGGCGGGCGAGGTGGAGGACATGAAGCAGGCCGGAGCTCACTGAGCCGAGGGAGTGGGCAGGTTGGTAGGGGATTAGGAGATCACTGAGGTAGTGGGGAGCAAGGCCATGGAGGGCTTTGAAGGTGAGGACCAGGATCATGAACTGTATCCTCTGCGTGATGGGAAGCCAGTGGAGTCGGGTGAGGATAATAATAATAATACTCCTTGCATTTGATATAGTGCTTTTCATCTCTGCTAGATGTGAATATACTGTAAAGTGAATTGACTGTATATTTGCGGGAGAAGTGTGGCAACCAGTTGCACACAGCAGTATCCCACAAACAGTCATGGATTTGAAGTGACTAATTTTATTTATTTTTTCTTGAGGATTATTATTAAGCGTGTGGAGTAAGGAAACTGGCCCAAGGCTTCGCCCTGCCGGGAATTGAACCAGGTTTCTCGCTTGCGAGGTGAGCGCTCTAACCACTGAGCTGCAGGACTCCTAAGGGTGATAGGGTCAAGGAGCCTGGTTTGGGAGAGAACATTGGCTGCAGAGTTCTGGATGATCTGCAGCCTATGGAGTGATGAGTTGGGGAGGCCGACAGCAGGGAGTTTGCATAGTCGAGCCTGGATGTCATGAATGTGTGTGTGAGGGTTTCAGCGGCTTTCAGACAATGGCAGAGCCGGCCGATGTTGCGGAGGTGGGGAAGCAGAGCGAGCCATGACACAGATGTGGGGTAGAAAGGATAGTTTCTACCTAAAGCAGAGTCTAAATCGCAGTCTAAAAAGGCCATTAAGCCTATTCCATTAAGCCACTAATCTATAAGGCTTTTCTAATGTAGTTTGTGCCAATTCAACACTATTTTCTTGTAAAATCAATGTTAATAGGGCATTTTACAACAGGTTTTAATACTTACCAATCTGATTCCATTCTCTCAAGCAGTAGTTTTAGAAATTCAATGCATTGACACAATATAAATCCAGGATGTAATGCAAATAATTAATAGTTGTTTGCACTCCCAGTTCTTTAAGAATATTGCAACAACAATTTGCATTTATAGAGCATCCTTCATGCAATAGCCCTTCGCCAACAGATACCCAGTAACTACAGTTCACACTAAATTCCTATGTCGTGCTTTAAGGCATCTCAATGACGAGATAAGGCGCTATATCAATTGCAAGGATTATTATTATTATAGGATAACAACTCAGAGCATTTTACAATGATGAAGTCGGACACTGAGCAAGAAAGAAGAGGGTAGAAAGAGGAGATGAGTATAGGCGATAGTTTACATTTGTATAGCACCTTTCATATCTGTAGGATGTAAGCCATCTCAAAGTACTCAAAATCCAACCAGTTTGCCTTGGTTAGGAATGCTCTTTGAACATACGCATAGTTCTCCTCAAGCCCTTGACAGAGCCATTTTACATCGGGATACAAGTCCTGTTTCCAGCTCTGGTTCATTCTCCTGCTGGAAACAATGACAAATCATTCCAAGAACCACACCTCAAAAAACAAACAAAAAGTTCAACATTAGATCTTAATAATAATCCTTGTATTTGATATGGCAAGTTTCATGTCAGGTGGCCATTTCAAAGTGCGTCACAGGATTATACTGTAAAGTGTAGTAACTGTGTATGCATTTTACCCACAAAATACACAGTCAATCCACTTTACACTATATTCTGTGACGCTCTTTGAGACGTCTCAAAGACGTGATAAGGCCCTATACCAAATGCAAGGATTATTATTATTTTGTAGGTGAATGGAGCTAATTTCACAGCATGCAGCAATGTCTCACAAGCAGCCATGGAGTGACCGATTCTATTTAGGGGATTGTTGGGCAGGACTCTGGAAGTAACTCCCTTCTCTTTTCAAATGGTGCTCGGGGATCGATAACACCCACCGGAACAGGTAAGTACAACCGTAACAAAAGATCCGTGACCGCCAAATGCAACCGCGTTGAAATACATGACTTCCTCCACAATAGTGAATCCAACACCGCGACATGTAACATCTAATACTGACCATCTGAACAGCAGAGAGCAACTGATCAGCCAGTCAACCGTGTCTGCAACGGGAAGAGTCGCACACAAAAAAAAACCGAGCCAAGTACAAACTATTCCTTGAGAGGGGGTTCATGCGCAACCGCAGCACATTTCCTTCCTAGTGTGTGTGTGTGTGTGTTTGTTTTAAGAAAAAAAAGCACTTTTACAAGGACTTTCAAAACGATGGTTAAAAAAGCAGAGGGAGGCAAAGTCTGGCAGTCAAACAAGACGGGCTCGGGGACCCAGGGAAAGCTGCTGAGCTGATAGTGTGGGACAAAGGCCTGAGAGATGCACAATAACCAGGGAAATCAGACATTGAAATGCAATTTGCAATTAAACATTGTGCAGCTGAAGACCCCCCACCCCCCACCCCCCACCCCCAGACCTGCAGCCCTCAGCCTGGGCACTGGCTGCAAGTGCCCTGAGTCAGCCCCACCAGCCACAGCCTCTCACTGCAGCAGCAGCAGCAGTACCTGAGAGAGACTTTCCCTTCTCGATCGTCCAAAAAAGTGTCAGGGATTTCTGCAGCAAATGAAACTTACTGTGGTGCCTGGCGATGCCCCAGCTCTGCCTGGCAATGCTGGGGCTCCGGATCAGCGCCCTCCCGGCCGACTTCAAAGCGTCCATAGTTGTTGGCAAGTGCACGGTCCGGGGGTGGGTGTGTGGGGGGGGGGGTTTCGGTGCTGGAGGCTGGAGAGCAGAGCCTCTGCCCCCCACACCCCCCCCACACCCCTTCGCCCCGCGCTCCCTCGGTCGAGACGGTGCGTGTCAAAGAGACAGGGAGAGCCCGGCAGCAGCTCGGCATCCACTCCACCCAGTGCCAGGCAACTGCACGGAGCAGATCAGAGCGGAGCAGCTCCACCCAGTGCCAGGCAACTGCACGGTCCAGAGCAGAGCAGCTACACCCAGTGCCAGGCAACTGCACGGTCCAGAGCAGAGCAGCGACACCCGGTGCCAGGCAGCAGCCTGGAGCAGCTCAGCTCCACCAGGGAAAGGCACGTGGAGCACAGCACATTGTCCCGCATTGACCATTTCGCGAGCAATAACGGGGATGCATCTGTTTTACCCGAAGCAGGAGAAGTATCCCAGGCTTCCCGTTTGGTATCTTGATCAGAAACTTCCCAGGAGTATTGCAGGAAGGTAACCATCACACACCTGGAGTAAAAGTGACCAAATGCAACAACTTGCATTTTATACAGCACCCCTCACGCAAGGTGATGCCCCAGAGCGCTTAATACATAGCATGCTTAAGACTTTTTGATGGGCAACAGGTAGACAAGCTAAGGCTCTTCAGTCTCGAGACAAGATGTCTCAGAGCGGACCTTATATGTATAACATTTTTAAATAAGTTTGAAAGCGTAAACCCAGAACAAAACTTTAGGGTGCAGCTAAATGACATAGATTCACTGGGGTAGAGCAAGAGAACATCAATTTAGAGTTGCAAAGGGCAACTTGAGGACAAACACCAGGAAGTTTTCTTTGCCAAAGGTAATTATTGACTGGAATAGATTACCAGGAAGACTGGTTCAGAACACTGGATTCGTTTAAAAAACAGCTTAATGCTTGGTTGAGTGGGTATTCTGGAATATGAGATCAGATCGGGCCGAATAGGCTTCTTCATCCAAACCAATGCCGTGATCTTGTGATATGGACAACGTCTTTAGAATTTCAGTCCTATGTGTTTAAATATAACACATAATGATACATTTTGTGGGTCAATTTTATTCTATTTCTGGCGCACGTTTTTATTCGTCCCACTAGTAGGTTTCTGGATAACATTGTACAGCAAGCTGCTGTGATCTAGCCACGTGATTCTAACTGGTATAATAATAATCTCTTGTATTGATATAGTACCTTTCATGTCGGATGGCATCTCAAAGCACTTCACAGGATATGCTGTAAACTGGAGTGACCATGTATTTTTTAGATGAAGGCAGCAATCAATTAGTACACAGGAATTTCTCACAAACAGCCATGAATTGAATGACTAATTTTATCTGGGATGTTGTTGACCAGAACAGCAAGAGAAACTCACTTGTCTTTTCCAATAGTGCCATTGGATTTTTAAAGTCCATCTGAACATGGAGACGGGACCTTGGTTTAACATTTCATTCAAAAGACTGCACAAGAACATCAGCCAAGGCTGTGAATTCAAAGTACTGCAGGTACCACATGGGTTTCAATCATTGCTGCGTTGCAGGGACATTATACAGGACCTCATGATGTGTAGGACTGTGTTAGAGCCTTCTGATGCATTTGACATATTTGAATGATTATTAGGTGTACAGCTGCAGTGAGGTGTAACAGAAAACTAAATGCAAAAGAACAACATTCTTTCATCAAATTTATTTGTAAAGCATTGCGAGTCATTCATTTTACATGAAAGCAAATTGTATGTTATTGTTATTAAAAAGTCACTGGCTTCACCAGTGATGTAGAATTATTTCATGCTCTATGGATTTACTGCACTGAGACACTTCAAATGCTCATTTTGCTTTGGCAAATACTTCCACATAACATATTCCAGATTTAGTCAATTAACACACAAAAGAGTGAATCAGTAGAAAGCAAATTGAACTGATCTGTAGTTTTAATTTACATTCTGTGTTTGTCTCAGTGTGCACAGTGTATATATATATATATATATATGATGAAATACAACAGTTAATGATAAGTTTAGCACAATGTTGTAACACAGCTGAGGCTACTCTTATAAAGAGCAGGAGTACAAGAAAAATGTCAATTGCTTGGCTATGTTACAGCCTATACCACAGTCTCAGACCTACCTTTATGTTATATATGATAGCCAGCCTTGTGAGGTGGGAGAGAGATTCTCCAATCACATGATTTGAATTTTGAAATCTCGTCTCAAACTACTGCCTTCAGTGCTCCATTTCAGTTATCATTAGTTCTGCTGTGTGACTTTGTGTCAAATAATGGCCACATATTGAAGGTCCTGAGCCAAGAGAGCGTTCCTGGAGTTGCCTAAGCTTGACACTATGTCACACTAAATGAGCAAAATATTATTTTCATAAACTGTACAATATAATATACAATTTTCAAGACTTTGTTTTTTTCCCCCACTATTGCCACTGTTTCTGCCTCTCATTACCACAGCTGGATTTTGTTCTTCTGATTTGACCAGAATGTTCCAGTTGTCATATCTGAAGGAGTTCTATGAACAGGTTAATTTCCTAAGTGTTCGTCTGGGCTCTTGGGACACATTAAACTAGATCTCATACCTTGTTGCCCACAAAATACACACAATCACTTTACAGTAAATCCTTTGTAGCACTTAGAGATCGCCTCCCATTGTCAGTGCTCCAAGATGCTACCCCACGTAAAGGGCACTATACAAATGTAAGTTGTTGTTGCAAAGGGCATTGCATCCTACTGTAAAAGACATTGTAATGATTATTTTTTTCAACTATGAGCACTATAATAATCCCTACATTTGATGTAGCACCTTTTATGTCAGGATGACATCTCCAAACGCTTTATAGAATATATTGTAAAGTGGAGTGACTCTGTGTTTCGAGGGCAAATGTGCCAATACAATATCAATCTCCAATCACTTACTTCATCTGCCCAGTTATGATATTCCTTAACTTCATTGAATTGCTTGGCTGCTGCATTTACCTACAAATACACAGTCAATGCACTTTACAGTAAAATCCTATGAAGTCCTTTGAGAAATGTCAACAATGTAACAAATATATCAACTGCAAGTATTATTATTATTTTCCCATTGGTCATGATATGTTTTCCTGCTTCTAAGCAATGTAAAATCTGTCTCCTTTATCAATAAAGCATTAGGATTTGTTTGTTTTTACTAAATCCCACAACACCTCTTCTAAATATTCATGCTAAGATTTGAGCAGTTGTAAATGACTCTGCAGCTCACACAGTCATGTATCTATTTTACATTAAGCAAAATGTATAATAATCCTCACCAAACCACTTTCAGGGTTTCCCACACTAAGGCATCAGATTTTGCAGACTCCACATTCTCTTGTAGGAAACTATCTGTTTCTAATTCCCGTTTTAATCCAGTTGTTTTTCAGTCTCCAGGCAGAAGATTTCCTGATTTCTGATAAGGAGTCTATCATAATGAAGATCAGCAATGTGGTGAGAAATCACAAGGTAACCAGTGATGAAGGCCCAAAAACTAATGACTGGGTGTAAAATTTAGAATTTCTAACAGCATTCCTTATAAAGGAATCAAAGTTGCACAATTGAGGAATCCTTGCAAAAAAAAAAAATACACTGCTCCCTCTTGGAATTTGCTTCCAACACAATAAAATTCCAGAACAAACGTAATGAAGCAGAAAGCAACAGAACAACAGCTTGAATCTTCTCATCTCAGACACAGATAGTATGCTATCAAGTAGATCGGAAACTGGAAGAAGATGGGTCACAATGTTAAAATGGATTTACACAAAATCAACAATGAAGGTTAGTTAGTAGCCCAATAACTACCAATGAAAAGGATTACAGGTGATTCTAGAATCCTGTGCAATGGTTATTTACAAAATTAAGGGAATGCGTATGCATTTAAACATAGTCAATCCGTGGGCTATTGGTCCCAAATAACCAACACAGGCTCACCCAAATTTCCCCCCAATGCTTTCATAGGTACTGGCCATGCAGTAGTACATCATCCACTTGTGAGCCATATGTGAATATTGACAAGACTATTTTACCATGCGGTTGGTTGGGGTGGAGGGGGATGGGAGGTATTACAGCCAAGACCTATCCTAACCTCAAGTTACATCCTCATACATGCACCTTTCATCACAGGTTTCTGGATCTTGCTCTGCCACTGTCTAGTACTCTGGGTCACTACCCTGTGTGAAGGTCACTAAATATATTAAAGTTGTTGTTGTTGGCTAGAGATTGGGAGTGGGACCATTGGCTGATCTTCCCCTTAAAAATTTTAAGATGCTGAGTCAAATTGTAGAAACCTATCTGCTGCTCCATCTGAGATCAACTATAATGATAATTATCCTTACATTTGGTATAGCACATTAGGAGGATACTAACTCAAATCAGAGACTTAAAACTTCAACATTCTGGTTTGATGGCCATTGATTGGTATGTTTTGCCCACCAGGTAATTGAAAAGCTATATTGTTGATTTTTACACTCCTAATGAGAGACTTCTGAAAGAGTAAGTAAATTGTCAAAGCACAGTGCTTAGAATTCTTCCAATAACCTCTGTTTTCTCTCTGTAAATTCTGTTTATTTATGTAAAATTCAGTTATGTAATGCCATTTTGTGACGAAGGTTTTAATCCAGATCCGTTGGTCAACTTATGTTATTTAATTGTCAAGAAATCTGATGGCTTTTGAAGTCAAGACAATAACACATCAAATGATGTGACAAAGCATTGGTTTTGTCACTGGAGAGTATATTGGTATATTTCACCTGTACACAGCTCACTTGTAAGCTACTACTTGAGAAGCAAAAGGCTCCAAGTTCATCTGAAGCTATATTTGGCAGCCGAGAATTCTTACATTGACAAACTGTAACTGAGGGAAGAAAAGATGATTCCTGAAAACTGAAATGATTGTCATTATGAAGGACTTTTATTGTTTGGGTGAGAGATAGTCATATTCAAGGTTAACATTTTTTATCAAGTACTGTATTGTTTTTCGATTGTTTTTAAATTGTGCTTTGCAGTACCTGTTAAAATAATAATCCTTTCATTTGATATTGATTGTTACCACTTGGTTGAAACATCTCAAAGTGCTTCATAGGATTTACTATGCAGTGTAGTAATCATGTATTTGCATATGAACGAAGCAGGTAATTTGC